ATGATACGGTTTGTTTTCCCAATCCAGCAGCACATCCACATTCTGGCCTCACCACTTTCTTAATCTCCCAGCACAATCTCTCCTCTGCCTCCTCTTTCAATTGCACAACTGCTACCTTCAGTTTCCTTTACATATCTACCCCAGATAATGATACCCATCACATACTGAGTACCCTAACAGATCCCTGGCTCAGGGTCTCTGTATCTTACCTGTTCTGATGCTGGACACCTTTCAAATAATTCAATAAGTAAAGCTTTTCTTTATGTGGGTTTTACCTTTCTACATGATTCAGAAGTTTTGAGCCCAGTGTACTCTCAGTTGTTTTTCTCTGTTTCTTTAACTCTGCATGCTGAAAGTATTTCTGTTTATATTTTGAAAGGAAATGTGCAAAGTGAGCATCAGCAGTCCCGTGAATAAAATAACAAGTTCTTATCTAATGTTTTGTAATATATGAAAAGTAGAGTTGTATCCAGTTGTTTTCTACGGAGAAGTGCAGAATATTGCGATCATCACATCCCACAGCCTGTTGCATAAGCTTACTTAATTTCAACCAGAGATTAGAAAACCTGCCTCTGTGGTTATTCTTCAGAGGCAGTTCCAGTTCTCATCACTGAAGTTGTCTTCTACCTCCACCTTTAATTTTCTTACAGCAAATTTATTCCATTTTTTCTTTTATAAACAGTAAGCTTAAACAGACCACCTTCCTCTCTGCTGCTTATCTGCCTCTTCCCCAATATAGTTCAGGCATAAACAGGTTCAAGCAAGGATTAAACCAAGTCACAGAGCCACTGCTAGCTATTGAACATAGCAACTACTACTCAGAAAGGCTTTTAGCCACAAATAGCTGCAAAGTAAACCAGAGTCATCAGAGCTCTACATGCACCATGCCTTACACCTCTGCCATGGGCTCCACAACATCCCTTTAGAAACATTCTATAGGGACAGATCTAGTATGGCTATTTTTACTTTCTTGAAACAGCATTGTTCATATCCTTCTCCTGTCCCACACTGCCAAGCCTCTCTTTTGAAAGGTTAACAGACTCATCCTGTACTCTCTTGACACATTCTCATACTTTCCTCATTGCCACTGAACTCCCTCCAGAACCTGTCACAGTCTGGAGTCTCCCTTCTTGAACATGGAGAGCCACGACTGTCCTCTGCAGGAATGTATTTCCTCTTAGTCATTAGTCATTTCTAAAATTATGGTGTTTTTCTGTTGTTTTTGACTCCATGATCTCTGTTCTGTACAACAGCTGTGTGCCTGTTCCCTGGCTGCTGCTGGCACTGGCCTGACTTTCGTGTGCTCTCCATAGCATTTTTCCCATACTGAGATCCCACAATTCCATTGCAACATTATAGCATCTTGGACAAGCACCTGAATCAACCCCAGATGTGTGTATTATTCATCTCAAATACTGAAAATCATGGGTCAGAGGCGGTTTCTGGTGAACTCCAGAAAAAAATGTTATCTTGAATCTAGCCAACTGTCTACATCAAGTTTTGGAAAAAAAAAAAAAAAAGAGTTATGGCTTAACTACATTATCCTTAACCAACTGCAACACAGCAGCTGTATGCTTAGCCACAATATGGTTGCAACAAAACCAAGGTGTCTAAGATGCAATTGCTCAAATGCTACAAATTGTAAAGTTCACCTCGCAACCCTTGAAGACAAATACAGAAACACTTTGCAACTGAGGAGGAACAAAGATGCTTCACCAGTATCAGCTGTGTCTGAAAAATAAGCAAATAGCCCCAGTCCGAACTCTGACTTAAAACTCTGCACATATCAAAAATACAAGCATAAATTATGTACATTTGGGGTCTCAAGATAAGCTGTAATAAAAAAAAAAAAATATGACAAAACCTGTGATTCACTGGTATCCTTTGCTGGATCATTCAGTTTGATTTTCTCAAAAAACTAGAGCCTGAGACAGGTATAAGATTTGACTCTTTCTATTCCTACAATAGCTATGGATTAGCACAAAGTCTGTTTATACTTCACAGACTTCTGATTCCTTAGACCTAGTCCATCAAGCTGGAACACCGAGAAAATCAAGAATTAACAGAAACAGCCCCACCTTCCTACTCAAGATTTAGCACATATGGCAGAAACTTCTATTCCAACTTCTATTAGACTACAATATTTTCATAGAATCATAGGGATTGGAAGGGACCTCTGAAGATCAAGTCCAACCCCCTGCTGCAGCAGGAACACCTAAAGAAGCCCACACAGAAACGTGTCCTGGTGGGTCTTCACAGTCTCCAGAGAAGAAGACTCCACAACCTCTCTGGGCAGCCTGTCCCAGTGCTCTGTCACTCTCACAGTAAAGACAGTTTTCCTCATGTTGAGGTGGAACTTCCTTTGTTGTAGCTTGGTGCTGTTTCCTGTCGTCCTGTTACAGGGCACCACTGAAAAGAGACTGGCCCATTCTTGACACCCATCCTTCAGATTTATAGATATGAATGAGGTCCCCTCTCAGTCTTCTCTTCTCAAGACTAAGCAGCCCCAGGTCTCTCTGCCTTTACTGGTATGACAGATGTTCCAGCCCCTTAATCATCCTTGTAGCCTCAACTAGACCATTTCCAGTATATCCCTGTGCCTCATGGACTGGGGAGTCCAGAACTGGACACAATACTCCAGATGTGGCCTCACTAGGGCACAGTAGAGGAGGAGAACTTCCCTTGACCTGCTGGCCACACTGTTCTTAATACATCCAAAGATACTACTGGCTCTCTTGGCCACAAGGGAACATTGCTCTCCCATGGACAACTTGTTGTCCACCAGGACCCCAAGGTCCTTCTCCATGGGGCTGCTTCCTAGTAGGTCAACCCCTAACCTATACTGCTGCATGGTGCTTTTTCTCCCCAGGTGCAGGACTCTACACTTACTCTTGTTGAACCTCACTAGGTTCCTCTTTGCCCAGCTCTCCAGGGCCCATGGATTTACAGATGTCCAGTTTCCTTAATAGTTTTTTAACCCAATCTCCTTCAATCAAGGTCAAGTCTTTCTCACTCCTGACTTCTGTGGTTTGAGAATCCTAAGGGTCAGCTTTAGCAGAAAAGACTGAGGCAAAGAAGGCATTAAGAAACTCCACCTTCTCCATGTCCTCCATCAACAGGGCACCCACTTCATTCAGCAGTGGGCCCATGTTTCCTCTGGTCTTTCTTTTACCTCCAATGTACTTAAGAAGCCTTTCTTGTTGTCCTTGACTTCCCTTGTCAGTTTTAATTCTAAGGAGGCCCTACCTTTCCTTGTTGCATCTCTGCACCCTCTGACCACATTCTTGTATTCTTCCCAAATGGTCAACCCCCTCTTCCATGATCTGTGAACTTCTTTCTTCCACTTAAGTTTGTTCAGTAGTTCCCTGCTCAACCATGCAGGTCTCCTGGCTCTCTTATTTGACTTCTTACTCTAAGGACACTCTGATCTTGAGCTTGGAGGAGATCTGCTTGAATACTAACCAACTCTCTTGGGCCCCCATTCCTTCCACTACCCTATCCCATTGGATTTCTCCAAGCAGTTCCTTGAAAAGGCCAAATTTAGCTCTTCCAAAATCTAGGGTTTTGACCCTTCTAGATGCTTGGTACCTGCAGCACATGATCCTGAAGTCTGTCATCTTATGGCCTCTACAACCAAGGCTGCCCCCAATGTCTTCTACCGGTTCCTCTTTGTTTGTCAACACTAGGTCTAATAATACACCTCTCCTTGTTGGTTCCTCCAGCACCTGAGTCAAAAAATTATCATCAATGCACTGGAGGAACCTCCTGGACTCTGGACTGTACCTGCCTGGCTGAGTGGTCTTCCCAGCAGATACCAGGGTGATTGAAGTCCCCCATGAGAAACAAGGTCTATGATTGTGAGGTGACTCTCAGCTGTCTGTAGAAGGCCTCATCAGCATCCTCATCCTGGTCCAGAGGCTTGTAATAAACACCCACAACAGTGTCCCTCTATTAGCCGGCCCCTTGATCTTTACCCACAGGCTTTCAATCTGCTTTTCATCTGCCCTGAGGGAGACCCCAGTACATTCCAGTTGCTCTCTCACATACAGAGCAATTCCACCACCACTTTGTTCTCAGGCAGGAACAGAAATTTGAGACCAAATCAAGAAACTGTTTTATAAGCAATTAAAAATAACCTGACCAGACAGAAATCCAAATGAATACTTTTCCTCTCTCTTTGCCCCTCCTTTAATCAAATTTATTTTACACTTCTCCACTGTGTAAGGTCTCATTTATTCTTCAAGGTCACAGCTCTTTGAAGAGCATTTCTTTGAAGAGAGGGCTTAATTTTTGAATGCTGCATAAAAAAACCCCAAAGTAAACAAAAATGCTAGTAGGAAGATGAAAAACTGCCTGTACACTTAAACAGCACCTTCCTATCTGACCCATCATCTGTGCTGGCTCAGCCCCAGGTCTGTATAAAGCGATTCATCCATAAAAATATGTTAAAATGACAAAACCCCTTGCCAATCTGCACTTGGTACAGAGAATCTTAGCTAAGTCCATGGAGTACCTAAGCAGGAACCCTGTGCTGCTCTGAAGAATTTAAAACAATAAAACAGGCTAACAGTTAAAACAAGCAACCTGACTGGGATAGTAGGAGGAGGAGGGGCAGAACAAAAGTCAGAGTATTCAGCCTGGTACCCTATTCACCCAGCCCACTGCCTCTCCTGCATGCAGAATATGTTAGCAAATACACCACCTGAGAAAGATTAAACAGTAGATGGCTTTAAACAAAACAGATGTGAAAAAATCAATAATTAAACTTCTTTTAAAGCACATCGATCACACTTGTTGCAAAGAAGCTCTTCTGTATCAGTGGAGCTGTCTGTGTCCACAGGGTGATGGGGGTAAGTTTAGCCCAACGGCACCTTCGCAGAAAATACTCAAGTCATTTTAATAAACGCAGCTCCTCTGATCACTGAGGTATCACCTATATGTTTAGGAGATCTGTCTGGTAATGCTTCTGGAACAGCTGCACCCCACTGGCCACTACTCACTCTGCAAGCAGTCTGCATTGAGCAAGTCTTGGCACTTCTCATGGCACTTGACTCCACATTCACCGCAGCGCATCCCCTGCCGCGCAATTCCCCACAGCAGCCCCTCACATTCATAGCAGTAGGTAGGGGTTGTGGCTGTCCACACCTCGAAGTTGTGAGGGGTTGTACAGGAGATGGGGTAAATTAAGGCTTGCAAGGTCTTCTTGTAGACGTGAGATTTCTGAAAGGCAAGAGCACACATAAACCAACATCCAGAAAGGTGACTGAACCTGTTTTTGCTGGTTAGCATATGAGTTTTTAGGGAAAAGGCACGAGCAGTGCAATCAATCTACAGATTTGACATAGCCAAATTTATCAAACTTTTATAAGCAGTGGGAGAGGATACCCTTTCAAAACTGTTTCTCCACACATTTGGGAAGTGGAGGAGCCAAAAAAAAAAGGTTTGCGTATGAGGGATACCTTGCATAAAGCAAGATTCACACACTGTCCCCCATGGTGGATAGGACAGAAGGAAATGGTAAAATTGTATTTTTCAGGATCATACCTATACATTAAATGTTATTTTCATGTTTGGTTTCTTTAAACAAATTAAAAAAGAAGCCTTGCATATATATTTTTAGACATCTGTGAAGCTGGTTCTGCATTCAAGAGAGCCAAATTCCTTTAATTTGCTGACTAAAAGCTAATAGGAGCCAAGCAACCCTCCCACTTACCAGCTCTTCATCTTTGAGAGATGTTCTAGTGGCCATTGCTGAGGTAATTCCGGCTTTCCGGGACTGAACCAGTGACTAAGAAGGAAAAAAATTGATCATACACCACAATATCCAGAAATCCACTCACTCTACATGCCCAGAGATGTGACCAAGGGGATTCTCTCCACCCAGACACCGAACCAGAAGTCTGTAATATTCAGGTTTGTTCTGTAAATGATAGCTCACATCTCAGAAGAGTGAAAGGCATACTCTGAGGGGTCTTCAAGTTGCTTCCACCTGCCCACAACCAGTCTCATTCTGGTAAATTTTTATTTGTTTCTCTGGTAAGAACTGTCAATGAAACGGGGGTTCATGTTTCCACTTCTATGTTCTAGTAGCAATGGTAATTCTGCTGTTCCCTTAGGTCACTAAATGGGACTCAGTCTTCTACATCTAACTTTATTCACTGCCAAAAGGAGATTTTTTTAAAATCACCTTCACAACACAGACAACACCCAAACAGGACAGTGAGAGGGTTTGAAAAAAACAGGTTTAAAAAAGGACAGACCGGGTTGGGAGCACAGGTTTGAATGTGATGGTGTTTCACATTCACTGGCCATCACTGAATACAATGAACAGCATTTTCACCTCAAAACTGCCTCCTTCTCCATCACACCAACACTTAAGTTTTGCACCCTTGGACAGCCCAGGGCAGTACTTTTGCAGCACCTCATACTGGCATATAAAGGATTTCTTCAGCAAGCCAGACAACTTAGATGAAGGCAGAGAAGGAAATTAAAGGCAGAAACATCTGCTTTGAAAACATCAAAACTTATCAGAAATATCCCTTTACGCTCTGATGTATCCTAGTTGAAGGCACACAGAAAAAGTTCATTCCATCAGTGATGGAGCAGGACAGAGTGCTGGATACACATGCACTGCAGTACAGTGGGTTCAAAATGAAAACTAAAAAAGTGGAGGGAAAATAAAATAATTTTTGTCTCTGGTAAAGAATTGGTGGATAGTCTTTAGCTCCACTTACCATGGCCTGTGGAGAGAGAGAATGAAAGCAGACAAAAGAAGTAACACAAGTTAATGCCATTATTGCAAAGATTTAAGATACAAGCAGTTCATAAGACACATATTAAGCTTCCCATGCTTAAGCTGGCAAAGAGAATTGCATGCATCTTCTCACAGGAATTACAGGATATGGAAACTTGGGTATTTTCAGCTGTTACAGCATTTCCCTCATGTATGAGATTGCTGTGTGTGCTGAACACAGCCACCAGAAAACCATGTGTCCTGCAGAAGTGTTATTTCACCATATCACACAAGCATATGAAACTTGTCCTTATTACTCGCTCAGTTCTTATGCTTCCTCAGTGCAGAAGCCTACTGGCAATTTTGCAAATAACTTTGAAAACCCAAGCACATATGCTCATTTACCTATCCTCTGAAATTCCAAGCTTCTGGTAAATTGCCAGACCTCACATGGACATTGTAACTTTTCCCAAAGTATGTGACTTTTAGGGAAACATTTTAAAACAATGCAGGCCCCAAAATCCCCAAATATTCTGTGCAGAAAAAAGGAGAGGGCACACGAAAAATATCTTAATTCTGCCAAATGAAAGAAACTGTCTTTGAAACGGTAGCTCGTTCTCACTGAGATTTTTCCAAGCACAACTTCTAACCTCTTACTGTGAGAATCAATTTAACTAAACAGGAAACCTTTAGCTTCTTGAAGTGTCAATGAATGTTAGCATACATCAAAAAGTAAAGTCACTTGTACCAATGATCGTGTGACTGAAGAAAAATTTCTTACCAGATCACTGACAAGTGGAATTGGCTTTTTTTTGCGTAAATCAGGCATGCTATCAATGCCATAGAGACCACCTGCAGGCCTGGAAATTCAGGAGGAAGGGAAAAAAAAATATTAAAAATCTCACCAGTAGTGACAGACAGTAAACAGATAAGTAAAAAGCCTCCTTAGAACATCAGTCTCCTTGCAAATATCACAGTCAATGAGAAAAGGAAATATCAGTTCATGGCAAATGCAACTTAATAATAAACCAAAGCTGTTAATGCTAAAAAAAAAAAAAAAAAGGTAATTTTCTCATTCTCAGAGCTGAGGGTCTGACCTAGCCTAGAGCAGGCTGGACGTGTGCTGCAGAGCACCCAATGCTTCAGAGTCCTTGCTGCCAGCACGGTGAGTGGATGCAGCCTTAGCCCCACTGTTTCTATGGGGCACTGTTTTGGCAAAAATACTTACCTAATGGCAGACCCAGGGCTCTGTGGCAGTAATTCACATGTGGCTTAGTCTATGGTAACTGAGCCACATGTCTCTGCTTTCAGAGTTTCCTTTTGTTCCTTATGGAGAGCTCAGTTTATAATTTACTAATGGCAATGAGTGCCACAGCAGGAGAGACTTCAGAAACTTGAAAATATTTCATCTACAGTCTTTCTCCAACCTCCTTCCTTGCATCTTATTAATTTAGGGTTAAGGGGTGGTGAAGCTTTACTGAAGAAATCAAAATCAGTCAGATGATTATACCTAGGAAAGTGTAAAGTTAATACTAAAAATTATTGTTTATCTTCTTCACACACAACAATCCAGATGCTCCTGCCCAGCGTTGCTGGTCGGGAGGGAGCACATCAAAGTGGATGAGCCACAGGGCAGGATGCTGCTACTCATCATCTGATTCTAGACTAGAACATACTTAATCCTGGCCCTCAAGATGCATATAATTATTAGAGGAAAAACCTCTAAGAAAGGAAATGCTTTTTATTTGGTGCTCAGTGTTGCAAGCCATAAAGACCTCTAAACGAGCTGCCATTTGCTTGTGGAGGTGGCAGTGGAGCAAAAGAGGCACCTGTAACACCTGGAATCTGCAGAAACCAAACATAACAGCCTCCTTCCCTCTAGATGAGACCAGGCTGAATAATTTGTACCTGGATCCTGCCATGCATGGATGTATGCCTGTGCTTGAAGAAGGTCTGTTAGTTCAGCCCAAATGACCAAAGTAAATCAATGGCATATATCTGAAAGTCCTTAATGTAATGTTTTTTTGTTGTGTGTTGTGGGTTTTTTTGCTAAATTTGGCTACTGAGCACCCATTTCTCTGCTGTTGTACTTACCATATTTACCCTGAACTGAAGAAGAGATCTGTGATGTGACTCCTTCCCTGCAATGAACACCTAGTTGCCAACCAAAACCCACAGCCCCTCTTCAGTGTCTCACCCAACTTCCCCACCTCCACACCGTTCTCACACCTTGATAACACTAGAGTTCCTGAGGTCTCATTCCTGGCTACCGAGACTATAAAGGAACATTTTGCCTCTCAATCCTTAGTCATTCCTTCTCACCCAAAGGTGGCTTACACCTTTTCGCAGTTGCATAATAAACTGGCTGGCATTTCTAACCAGCATATTTTGCTGTTTTGGTACACTCCACTCAGCTGAAATGCTTTAGGGCACCATGACTACAGCGAACAGAAGCATGGGGTCAAGCTGTTCTTACTGCAATAAAAAACACACATGGAGCTAACCCCTTAAAACAAACTAGGAAACCAAATTGCTACTACAAATGTACATATGCCATGAAAATTGGGAGGCTGGTAAGTGACAGGAACCTGCACCCCTCACAAACAGGACCTACTCAAATACCCTTTTGATACAGCCAGAAGTAAAAAAAAACAATACAAACAAACCAAACAGAGACCAAACCAATGTCACAGCAGCCCATGCTCTAGGACGTCACAGCACAACCTAGCACAAGGCTGTGTCAAAGAGGGAAGCAGTTGTTTGTACCCAGAAACATGCCACAGCACTTTAAGGGTAAAACTGCCTTTTTTGATGGGGCGTGGGAGGCTGACATGTCCGAGCCATGGCTGAGCTGACAGCTGCTGCCAGCTGAACAAGCCTGGTGGGAAGGTGAGCAGCCATGTGTAACTGCAGGAACTATGCTGGTTCTGCAGGCAGCCTGAGTCACGTTTGCACCGCAGCACCGTGCACGGCTCCCTGCGCTCCTGCACGACAGAAACAACCCCACCTGCAGCAACTCAACCTCGCAGCTGGGAAGGGAGGACAAACTGGAACATGGGAGAGGTGGAGTTTACAGCAGTTCATTAGAACTATTGGAGTCTTTAGACAAGAATAAAAGCCATTTTCCAATGCTGGCAATCCTTATAGTGAGGCTACATGGTGTTTACACTAGCGGCCACCCTCATTTCCAAGACAGAATTTCAGAAATTTGTTTTGCCCAAGTTACACTGCAAGAATCCTTTCTGGCTTATAATAGAAAAATCTCACCCACATGGAGAAATATCTGCGTAAAGTGTTTATATTGTCATAACCATGACCAGCCTTCCTGGGTTCAACCATGGAATTTTGTCTGCTGCTCTAACTAAAAACCCCATCAGATACAAACTAACCATAGTGTTTTGGGGTAAAATAGGTGTCATAGAAGACTATCTTGCTGATGCCAGGAATTCCAGCATTATTTAAATCATAACACAGCTTCTTAGAAAGTTCTGGGTCCAAGATTTGTGCCAAATCACTTGAATTATGAAAGTATATGCAAAATAGAAAGGGAATCTGTCTGTAAGGTGAAAAGATGCAACAAAATGGTCACATGCACAAATCCAAAGTCAACGCTCCTGCTAAAGGTCAGTGGCACAGCTGGGAATTTATACTTCTTTTCTATATAATTTCCAATTATTATTTTGTTATAACTCAACTGAAAGAGAACTGTAATACTCCAACATTTCCCAGGAACGAACTGAATTGAAGATGAGCTTAAATTATTGTGCTTGAGAAACACAAGCTTAAATTACTGTCCTTGTCTAGTTACGACCTGGTTTGTTGCAATATATTTGATGATAGACTGAGGTTTATGATAGAAGCAGTTGTAAGCCAGACTGACAGAGAAGAAATGTCTGAAAAGTGCTTATATTCACCACTGAAGAGAGGTATCCTGGTGCCTAGATAGTTATACACTCAAATGACCTGCTTTTAGCTTGTTGGTGTCTTTTTTAAAAAGATTTTTCAGTAGCAATTTTTAATTTTCAAAATTACTCAGCTTGTTGTGCTTTCAGCTAACTCAATCCTTTTAATCAAGCACAATCTCTACTTCAATTACCAAAATTACAGTGTTTGTGTAGACAGAAGTACTGACATTGCCTCAAATATGCACCCTGTAGCTTGATATGTAATAGGGTAACTCCTCTGCAGTGCATGTAATATTTATAGCATTATTATGGAGTGCTGTATTGAGGAATGAATAGCATTTCTGTAAGAGGAGATGACTTGTGCTAATAAATAAAAACCTAAATATGAGATACTACACTCAGAGACTGACCCATAATACCTATTGTACTTTTTTTAAGCTCTCTCTCCAAAGCCAGTGATTAAAGACCGGGAGCTACTGTTGCACTGTGCTAAAAGCCAAAATAGCTTGAAGCAAGTATTCATCTTTTAATGCAAGTTTTATCACACAGATTCTTCCATTAAATCTTGAAAATTTAACCAAGCAAAGATGGTTTGCAATGACAGAAGATTATTATTTCCTTCAAAGGACATCACTTCTCTAATCTCCATGTGAAAGAAGTGCTCCAAACATAAGTACTTCAACATACATTGTGACTAATGAGCCACAATGTGGCTAATAGTGAAATTAAAGATTCAACACCCACAAACACCTTTTCCAGAGGTGCTCACATAGGAAGTGAAAAAAATTACAGAAAAGAGCAAATATTGCCTTGAATTGACAAAACACATTTTAAAGCATTCAGGACTGTAGGTGTATTCGTCTTTCAGGCTGGGAAATCATTTTGTGTGTGTGAACCAATAAACTCGGTACATTGTCTCCTTGTTAAAGGTACTTTTTATAGTTAGAATAAATCACTGCCTTCTGCTCCTGCTAATTACCAGTTCTCCAGCAGCCTGCTCAGCAAAGTCCCAGGCTCCTTAGTGAAGCTCAGGGTTGCTAGGCAGCTCCAGGCATCCGCAGGTGTGGAGTAAGCTTTCTGGGAGCACCAACATCACAGAACAATGACTCTAAAAGCAGAAAGCTGTATAATGAAGCCTCCAATTTAACATAGTGTTTTATTAGAGAAGCTTCCTTCAGTAGTATGAGAATTAACTTACGACGGTAGCAAGCCAGGCCCTTGCTGATATTTCAGGGTAAATCTGCTCCTAATGAGTGCACCACCACCAAACCACATCACCCTAGTGGTGTACACAGCCCATAACCTAGCAGCTTGTAAAATCTGTCATTGTCTTTTTCTTATCCAGGGAGGATTCTAGGGAAGATAACATGCTGGCACCTATTATGCAGAGTGTCATGCTGAAATTACACACAATCAGAATTTGCCTGCTTCATTTGCTGTGACTAGCATGTGGTGGAGAGAACAGTCTCACCTGTGCAAAAAAGGCATGATGATTAACTGCTTTAAAAATAACCTCTGCTTTGGAGACAGACTGAGGGATCTGGGGCTACTCAGCCTGGAGAAGAGAAGGCTCCGTGTAGACCTTATAGAGGCCTCCCAGCCCCAGGAGGGGCTACAGGAAAGCTGGGATGGGGCTTTTCACCAGAGAGGGCAGTGACAGGACATGGGGTAATGGTTTTAAACTGAAAGAGGGCAGATTTAGGTTAGTCATCAGGAAGAAATTCTTCACCATGAGGGCAGTAAGGCACTGGAATAGGTTGCCCAGGGAGGTTGTGGCTGCCCCCTCCCTGGAGGTGTTCAAGGCCAGGTTGGATGACGCTTCTGCAGCCTGGTCTAGTGTGAGGCGTCCCTGTTCATAGTAGGGAGGCTGGAACCTGATGATCTTCAAGGTCTCTTCCAACCTTAACCATTCTATGATTCTATGATAACAAACTGCAATGACCTCCAGAGTTACTGCAGTTTTGAGTGCTACAATGACCACAGAAATCATTGCGAAGATGGAAGACTTGCCCAAAGCTACTTCTTCTTTAAACAGCAAAAGACTGCAACTTTTCTGATACTATCAGTGATTGATTCAGGAAAACTAATCTCATCAGGACCTCTCTGCACTGCTCAATAAGAATTATTTAGTAGTACTGCCATAAGCATTTCCCTCCATCATGTTACAGATACATATTGTAATCATAACCCTGTCCTTAACCACAAATCTCTTCCAAGAGCTGCACAGCCCACCTCCAGATGTTTAAGAAGAGAGTCTGAAATACAGCAGCAGCCTGGCCCTAGGTGAGGCATGGCCACTTGGTTATTCTTGACAAGAGCCATTTAAAACATCAGAATTGCTGCTTCTCCTTAGATTGAACAGCAGACCTCAATGTACACTGTAATTACAAACACAGGGAAATAAGGTCTCAAAATACCACTTACCCTCCTTTGAGCCAGGGTGGTTTTGATGGATCAGCCTCATCTTGACCCTTAAATTGGGGGAAAGGAGAAAAACAATATGAAATTAGTTTCCAGAAGCACCAGAAAATTTATTCAGATTATATTACGTGGGAAGGATAATACACAACACTGCATGCAGGCAAATGCATACAGAAACTCATTCAAGCACCTCCAATGACCAACATTTCAGAACAAGTCATACAGACACAGGCAGGCTATGCAATTTCATTGAACACCTCAGACTGGAACCTGAGAGCCTGTTCAGTGCAATTCCTCTTTCAAAAAGCCATCTTGAAGACTAACTGATGTGATTATTTTTTTCCAACCCAACAAAAGCATGAGTTATCAGAGAGCTCTTGCCACCACTTACATGAACATGGTCATAATGAAGATGTTAGAAATTAAAAGCACATACATGAAATGCACAAATAACGCATCAATGTGAAACTTTGTACAAACACTTCTGAAATCCATTCATGCTTAAATGCAAGGACTTTTTAGGCCCCTAAGCAGGGAAGTCCCATTGCAGCTTCACCCATTTACGTGCAAGTATTTAATTGCAAGAGGTGTAAAACTCCGGCTGTCACTTGCATAATTGCAGCTGAACTGGAAGCTCACAGCATAATGGAACACACCACAGACTGCAAATAGGAGGATTCACTAATTCAAACCATGATCTTATGTCCATATTAGGAATGTATTTATAGAGGAATGTTTTGTTTCTTTGAAAATCTTCAGTGCACTGGTTAGAGCTGAGAAGTGCTTAAGCATTTGTACCTGAGGAAAAAAAGTTTTGGATAAGGAGACTATAACTGTAAACCTCTTTGTTCCAGTTAACAGTTCATACATTCTCCTCCACTCCCTGAAAGAAAAGTTTGTTTCAAACAGGACTAAGCAAGACGCACTGCTAGTAGCTAACACTCCATCCTCAGACAATCACGTCTGCCAAGAGTATAAAGTAACTTGCACACAGTGGAAAACAAAGTATTTCCAGCCACAGGACTTAGAACCTGAGAATCATCACAATGTAAAGGCATATGTCAGGAAATAAGCTCCAGTCTTATGCAAGATAAAAGAACACAGCCCCAAAAGAAGTATTCATTTACTTTGTCCTGTGCTTTCGATGAACTATGCAACCTCTGGATGAGCTGGTCACAGGTGGCAGAAATGTCTGCCAAGCAGAACAGAAATAACCAAGAAAAACAAGTTTCTATTAGAAGTCTCAATTTGTACAGAGTAAACGTCTGAACTTCTTATTAGTTAGTCCTACAACTCCAGGGCTAGGCAGATCTGAAGACTACACCAATTTTTTTTACTTTATTTTTAAAAAGCAATAAACAACAGGACCTTATCTGTAATAGAATGCACACTGCAGCTTTTCTACATGATCACACAGCCCTGAAGAGCAGGCAGGGGCCTGAAACCCATGGCCCAGCCCGGGTATATGTTTCCCCTGCAACCAGAGCAGCATATCAGGATCCAGGCTTCTGCAGTAAGGATAGTGCTCTACACGTCTCCAGTCCAAGCTGTGCTTCCAAAACCCCTCAGGCTGCAACCTGCATTTCCTCTGGAGGAATTTGAATCAAGTCCTGGTCAAAAGACTAGATTTCTTGAGGCAAATGCAACCAGACCCTTCAGAGCCCACAAGGGAGGACATCCCTACCTTTGCCTCTCAACACCTGGAAAAGCTGTGACCAGAAAGCAATCTTGAAACAGAACACTGCTTTATACTGGACTGAGTGTGACAAGTGTTAGTTCAGCTGCACAGAATGACACAGAGTGACAAACACAAACATGGCAACACTTAATGGTAAAAGGAAGCAGTGCAACAGATTTTTCAATCAGTTTATCTGAAAAATACTAAATATAAGTGGCCAATATTTGAGACACCAGGCAATACTGCAGCATGGAGACCACAATAATATCAAGAAGTCTTCTCAGTGGAACAAGATGCAGGGAAAGCTGTTATCTAATTGAACAATAACCATTTCCTACCACAAGTCCACAGAGAACGGCCAGGATTGTGGATGCAGAGAAGGGCAGAAAGCACAATCAGGAAACAAACCTCCATTATGTTCCACATTTTGAGACATACCAAGTAAAAACTGCCAAGAGTCCAGATAACCTGTACTTCTCATTATTTAAATTACTCTCGCCAAGCCTTTTAGACATGGAAATAACATGAAAATAAGAGAAGAGCTTTCCTAGGATCAAAATCACAAATCATCTTGGTACAACACCACAAAACAAAAGAAAGAGCTTTCAGTATGTGACAATATTGATGCAGGGGCAAGGCAGGTGATGTGTGTGTGGAAATAGGAGTTATCACTCTCTGAAAGCAAAGAGGCAATTTGCTCCAGGCAGCATTCTCCCTGGGAAAATGCCAAGAGAACCAGCATCTGACATCCATCAAATGAGAGCTGATGCCTTAAGACTGTGGAAGAGCCAATGCAGTACCAACAGTTAGGGGTGGGGAGAACAAGGAAAATATGATCCAGACTAGCATAGGCTCATTGTTGGCTTCAGCAGCTTGAAAAGCTTCAGAGCAAAGGGAAGAATTAACATGGAGGCAACTGGAAAACAGAAAAATATCATATAGGGTACAGCAGTTTTTGAAAGCATTTTTTAAAAATGACAAAACAACCACTTTGCTTTAGACAGTAAAATGAATTATCAACTGAATTTTCATTTAAAAGAACAAACAACTTTTGACACAATGCCATCTGACGTTACTGAGGTCAGAGAAGCTGAGAAGGAGCTTTAAGGTGGATAAACAAGTAACTGTAACTGAGCCATGGACAACGCAATAAGGAAGCTAGTGGGAGTAAGGATATGCTGATAAAATCTGCTGATGACAAACACCAGAGAATTATTGATACTGAACTCAGATGCCAAACGGAAAGAACTGATGGCAGTGAACAGAGTGATTGCATCAACAGAGGATTAAACGTTGTACAAATGTCCAGGTCTGAGCTCCAAGGCCTGCTGTGAATTTGACTTGAGAAGGTGTTTCTCAGTGTAGAAAAATGTGACAACAGACTTGAGTTCTAGTCATCACCCTGGCCACAAGCTAATATGATACAGCCATGTAAGGGGAGAATATAATTCACACAGTGAAATGTCTCCAAAGAAGTAAAACCATAAGTATCGCTGTGCTGTGCTGGTCAAGTACCTTCAGAAAAGCATATACAATTTTTTTATGCTATACAAAAGAATCCACAGAAAAAAATGGCAAAAGCAGCATGAGAATGTAAACCTAATACAATTCAAGAAGGACAGGACAGCTTGCTTACTCTACCAAAAAGAACCTTTTTGTGTGCTTATTCAATAGACTAGAGATCGTACTGCATGGAAGAAGAAGTGGAAGAAAAATGGAGGATAAAAATTAGAAGGTGTAGTAGCTTTTCAAAGGGAGCAGTGGGCACCAAACTTACCTGGCTTTAAAGAAAGAAATGACGAAGTCTGTGTTGAGCTAATGGCCCAATATATCATACAGTGGCAGAGGGGCTGGCAGTCACCAAGAAGGCCCCTGCAGTCACTCGTTGCACTGACACATGGAGTCGAAGAAGCAGAGGCCTCATTACAAGTGTTGGCATGAGGGTTAACAGGGTCCAAACACCTCTGAGTGTGACAGTTAAACATTAACAGCAGTGCTGTTCAGATGGATTTGCTGCAGCTGGGATGTTTCCCACCCTCTGAAGCAGCACTTGCACCAAGATGCAGGAAGGCTCCAGTAGCTGCTCTGCATCTGGTCACCAGCCATGGATCTTGAGTTCAGCCTGGCTCACCTAGAGCCTGGGCAAGCAGAAGTGAAAGATGAGAAGAATACTGAAACAACTGTGAGAGTTCTGAGCACTGTTCTTCCTGAAACAAATGGGAGGGCCAAGGGAATG